TAGCGGTTTGATTTCACAAGGACTTAGATTGCTTTACGATGTGAATTCACACTTTGAAAATTATCGTGGATTGCCATACGATGTGATTCCCGCTTTGAAGATTATTGTGGATTCATAGTAATAAATAGCAAAAACTTCAGCTCTAGAGCTGAAGTTCGCCAGTTACAAAAATAAAAACTTCAGCTCTAGAGCTGAAGTTCGTCAGTTACAAAACAAAAACTTCAGCTCTAGAGCTGAAGTTCACCAGTTCAAAACAAAAACTTCAGCTCTAGAGCTGAAGTTCGCCAGTTACAAAAACAAAAAACTTCAGCTCTAGAGCTGAAGTTCGCCAGTTACAAACCAAGTGTGCAATTACAAACACAATTGGTTCAGCACACTTGGTTCAGCACACTTGCTACTTCAGTCCCGTCTACTAGAATGCTGAAGTTTTGCGTGATTGCCTTTGCTACTTCAGCCCCGTATGCTGAAGTTACGCGAAAAAGTGGGTACGCTTGCAATTTTTTTTGTAAAGCGGGCACAAGTTAAAACGTGACCCAACAAGCGGGTATAGATGCAAATACCCCAAAGCCATAATAATGGGCTTTTTTCACTTTTAGCCCGTCAGAAGAAGGGGACCCTTAGCGTAACTGGTAAAGTTGCTGCCATGTGACCAGGAGGTCATGGGTTCAAGCCGTGGAAACAGCCTCTTGCAAAAATGCAGGGTAAGGCTGCATACAATAGACCCTTGTGGTCCGGCCCTTCCCCGGACCCCGCACATAGCGGGAGCTTAGTGCACCGGCTGCCCTTTTCTGGTCCGTCAGAAACTATTTACATTTAGTAGTCGAAAAAATATATAGAATTTGTATATAATATACAGAATGTATATATATACAAAAAATATATACTTTTCGGCTATTATTTTGAGAGCGGCTATACAGTGTCATTTTTTCCTTAATTAATTATATGCTTAGATCTAGGAACTACCATCCAAATAGTATCCAACTAAATTAAAATTAAATAGTGTATATGTTACATTTGACAATAGTAAGTTATTAACTAATACCTATGGAGGGAAAGTTCCATAAGAAAAAAAGCAGCAACTTCATAATATCTCTAATCACATAAAACTGTTCAATGAACTGTTTTAAGTTACATAGGATGAACCATAATTGTCTAACACCCCATCCGATTTAATGAGTGGACCTAGCAATAAAATTATGTACTGTTCTGATAATAGCATGACATAAAGTATGTTAGCAATTTAATACATATTCCTACAATTGAAATGGGAAAGACATAGATTTAAGTTTGACTTGAACACTTACCTAACATTATCTTATTGATTGAAATCTTTCCAACCATGGGATATTTTGTCTTATTGCCAAAAAGAATTTGCTAGATATTTTTGCTTAAATCACATGGAGCCCAAGAAAAGCGAAATTTAAGACATGATCACCAAAAAAGGACAAGAAACAAGAATAAAACATGGATCACCATTGTCTAGGATTTACAAGTGTTGAACAACTAAAAAGGGAATTAGAGGGCAAGGTATGTCCCATCCCCACATTGTTGTGAATCTTAAGTCCCTTTTGTTCCTTCCTATAATATTAAGAAAAAATGACCCCTCAAAAAAGCCAATAAACTAGGTCTTCCCCCACGTAACATGATAGCAACAAAAGATTCATAATTACTAGTAGTAATATTTTCCATTTCTGGATCTATTATTTTGCCAGATCACTATCCAAGATTGCCAATACCACAACTGGAAAAAGATTATCATTAACGTGTGCTAGTACTTGCATATATATATATATATAAAAAGAAAAGTAAAAAGGTGTAGAAGCATAATTGTGATGCACCAACAAGGCTTTGGGAAAATAACAGAAGAAAAGACCAAATTAAAGAGGAATAGAAATAACGGAGAAACTCCAGCTGGTAGAGAGTGTTTTCCCTTTTAATACACGATGTAAATCTAGATTTATTGAATTATTGAGATTTGGATACGGAATAATTATAACAAAGAGAAAAAAAAGTGGTTAATGAACTTCTATTTGCCTTCTTGGTACGATGATAATGGGACAATTAATTCCGGGAATAAATTTGAGATGAGTTTATCCCACATTTGATTGGAATAAATAGTAGTGTTATTTTTATCTTTATGGGAAGGTAGGATAACAATCCGGAGATAACTAATTACAGGATAATTAATCCTTGGATAAGTACTTGTTTCCCAACCAAACAACTCCGGTTCAAATCTTCAGTGTTTGTTGAAAAGACTACTATTAATAGAAGAAAACTCCAGTTGGCTTTCTTCTAATTTCACAGAAGAAAAGCTGCATTTTTCATTTACTCGCATGCCTTTTGTTTTATTTGACATGACATACAAAATCAGGTAGTGAAAAATAAATGAGGGTTGTGAGGATGTTCATTTATCCCCTAATTAAGAACAAAGGGCTATACAATATTTATACACATTATTCTCACTAGCATATAGGCTGTGCACCTCCTCTGTATTTTGCATTCAAAGTATTACAGCTTCTTATTAATGAGTCATGTTCAGAATTCTAAGCAATAAATATTTTTATCTTCTCTTCACCAGTTAAACCTCATGACCCTAAGTGAGAGCAGCCCCAATTCTGTCCTTTCACATTTACTCAAAGGGAAGTTTCCTGCCTTCATTTTCCTTTATGTATTGTATCCACGACCTACTAATCCGACTAATTTGAATTCGCGCAGTGGGGCCCACCAAAGAGAAGCGTTTTCTGTTTTCGAGGCTCGAGGCCCAAATGTCCGGTTAAAAGTGGAAGAATCTCATCCATCTCATGACACTCTATTGTCTCGTGCCTTTTATAAGACATGAATCTCTATCATATTACGTTCTCTATTTTCAAGGCTCGAGGTGCAAACGTCTAGTTAAAAGTGGAAGGATCCCATCCATCTCATGACACTCTATTATCTCGTGCCTTTGATAAGACATGTATCTCTATCATATTACGTTCTCTATTTTCAAGGTTCGAGGCGCAAACGTCTGGTTAAAAGTGGAAGGATCCCATCCATCTCATGACACTCTATTATCGCGTGCCTTTTATAAGACATGTATCTCTATCATATTACGTTCTCTATTTTCAAGGCTCGAGTCGCAAAAGTCCGGTTATAAAAAGTGGAAGGATCTCATTCTTCTCATGACATTCTACTGTCTCGTACGTATCTATGTCGCTCGGACTCTCCGCAAATATCGATGGGTGCGTGTCGGATCTGTGAGCGATACTGTGTTAAAACACAAAATCAGGAAAACAAAATTGTTAGAAGAATTAAAGAAATCTGAAAAATAGTGGAGTTCAAGAAATATTCCGAGTCCACAATTTGCTTGTGTGTCCTTAAGGAATTTTAACCCCCTCACACGTTGCCAAGGTAATGGAATAAATCCTCCCAGGATAAAACGGAATAAACCTTCCTGCAACAGTGGTAATACAAACTGCAGGATACCAACGAACTTAAAGAACGGAGCAAAATCACACTTACGAATTTGAGAGAGAGAGACTGCGAATTAGAATGCAGTATATTCAGAAAGAAAGAAGTTCTGGAGTGTTTTTCGTGTTTAGAAAATGGACCCTTGCCTCAGAATTTATAGGCAATTATCAGAAGAGGTGTCTGGAAAAGGTGCCTTTTCAGAAGAGTACGTTGCCTGCCGCGTCGCGGCAGAACCGCGATAAGAAGGACTTTCTGAACCTTCAGCAGCAGGTTCTGGCATATTTTCAGCAGTGATTTGGCATTTAATTAATTTATTAGCCGAAGCCGAAGCCGAAGCCGAGCCGAGCGACGACGACGGCGCGAGGGTTCATTCTCTTCAACTCCTTTTATGAGCTTTAAGAAGTGATTCTATATATAAGCACACAAATGTGGTTGTCCCTCACCAATGAGGGACAAAGTGCAAGACAAAAGTTCACTTCTTCAAATTTTCAATTTCCCTCCATTTTATTTCCCTCCATTTCCAATTCACACTTCTTCTATTTTAAAGCCCAATGGCTTAAAGTCCAACAATCCTCCGAAAATATTTTTGGAGGATCCGACATGGGTGCGGCAGCTGTTTTGGAGAGTCCGAGCTGTTAGGTGTTGTCCTAATTTTCTTAACATATTTGGTTTTCTTATCTCTTGAAGGAAAGGACAACATGTTTACCATAATTGGGTTTTCCTTCTTGTATAAGGAAATTATAAATCTCCCATATTTGGCTAGTCTTTTTTCTTGTAGGAAAAAGTTTGGACTTCTACAAGTTGAGGATCCCTCCTTCTCATTCAGTAGCATCCACAATGTAGCCATGTGGAGTTTGAGAGTCGTGTTTAGGGGGAAAACTTTACGGGACAAGTATTAGTGTGTCACTTGGGTTTGCCTCTTCGTGAGGTTGTTCTCTCGATATTTTGTACTCTCTTTTATTATAGTGGATTGCTCATCTCCGCCGGTGGACGTAGGTCAATTGGCCGAACCACGTTAAATGTTTGTGTCTCTTTTGGTATATTTCTCTTCTGTTATCTACTTTATCGTCGTTCAAAGTTTACTTTGCTAGCTTCCGCATGATACCTGCCTTTTTTCGGTCCTAACACGAGCAACATAGGTGCGTAGTATAAGACATGTATCTCTATCATATTTAACAGCTTCTGCCTGTCCCATTGGTGATATAAAGTAAAGGGAAATAATGGCTATGTACATGTATCCAGGAGGTAAAATTTAATTCCAGCTATTGAAAAAAAAGGGAGAACAAAAATAAATACAGGGGTTTGGGTTGCTTTCAAAAGTATAAGATTAGGCACGTTCTTTCTTTGTGTAGGAGAGCTGTATTGGTCTGTGCAGATAAAAAAGCATATGTTATTAACAGGTGTTTTTCATCTACATTCCTTTGCCTTTTTCATCAGCATTACCAACTCCATTCATCTGTCTTTTAATTCATTTTAATGCATTACTCTTAGTTCTTGTATTTTATCATCTTTTTTATTCACTTTTGAGTGTTCTGCTTTTGGCACTGAAAATGGACTCTTCCAAATTATTTGGAGAAGTAGAAGAATGTAACAGCAGCGAATCAGGTTGGACAATGTACATTGGCTCTCCTTCAAATAGTGAGGATGATGATGAGCTGGAAAATGAGGATTTTGATGAATTACAAGATAATAATAAAGAAGTCATTAATCGCGACGACAACGAAGATGGTGATACTGATGATTCAATGGCTTCTGATGCTTCTTCAGGCCCAAGTCATAGGAAGTATTTTACTAAAAATGGAAAGAATACTGGTCCAAGTCTTGCCAATATGGTTCATTACAAGAATCCAAAGGAAAATAATGAGGATCACAAAGTTTGCAGCTTGAACAACAAAGGCAATAATTCAATGAAAAGTGGTTACAAGAATGAAGTCAAGGAAGAAGAGTCTGTTTTTACTGCAAAAGGAGCACCTTCAAATGATGGTAATAAGGTTAGGAAAAGTATTTGGATGGGTAAAGGGAAGAAGTAACATTAATAGCTTAATTCTCATTTTAATTAGATAGTACTAGTACTATTATGTAGTAGTATATCTTTCTTTCTTCTTTCTTACTGCATGGAAAAATTATCAGGATGTTTTCAAGTAGAAACAAACACGTTCTTTTTATTTTGCTATACTGGAGTAAGCGATTTATTAATGTATAGTGCCAGTCAAAACAAGTTAATTCACATGAGTTTTAAACTTCATTACCACGGCCTAGTCGTTGTACTTAAAGAAATTATCTAAGGGTATGAATCGATTGCACATTCATCAAAAGGTCTGTCGTGAACAATTTTTTTGTTGGCCGAGTTAGTATATTACAAATACATACCATTGTATTGGGAAAAAGTTGAATTTATATTGAAAATGACGTGGCGTGACACGTGGACTGGACAAATAGTCAAAGTATAACAATTAAGAAAAAGGTACGGGAGATGACAGGTACGAGAAGAGGAAGTGAAACAGGCACGAGAAGCAGTTTAGATACGAGTCTCGTATCAATTCGAGTCATTTAAAGCCAGTGGATCAAAAGGCACTGAAAACATGGATCTGAAGACAAAAAGGAGTCCAAATTCAGTATTAAATACCTGATACATTAGAAAATTGGTATTTAATAGGAATGATTGTGTAACGGCTCATTTAATATCATTTATTGTCCATAATTATCTCATTAAAGCTTAGGTTTCATTCCTTTATCTAGAATCAACTATAAAAGGAGGAAGTTGTATTGGGAAAAGATCATGGTTGACATCATATTGAAATAAAAACTTGTTCGCTGCTTTATTATTATTCTCAGAAAGCCTATTATTCTTTTTTGGTCTCTTGATTATCAGTAACCCGATTTTTCATCTCAAATTCTAGTTTTAACCGAAATTATATTTTTGGTAAAACAAATTGGTTCTGTTACCGGGAATCTGATAATCTATTCTTTTAAGTTACATTCTATCTGTTGTTATCATCATTTCACACGACAATAATAACAGTGAAAACGCCTTGGGAAACCGTGAAAATCAAATGCATCAAGATCAAGGAGATTTGCAGAACTTTAACGTGGTCCCTTCTCTTCGAAATTCACCACGTCAATCTCGTGAAGGCACTCCTAAATCACATGCTGATGAGCAAGAGCAATCAGAACATTTTGAGGGACCAGAAGAAGCTCTGCAAAGAATAATTGATGCACGGGTTAGCCAAGCTCTTCAGGCGCTAGTTAGCCGGTTACCTGCTGCGCCGTCCACACCTTCGCCTAATAACAATACGCTGGAGAATCCTCGTTCTGGCCTTGTTAATTCAAACGAAGGAACCCCCATTGAACCACGAGAAATGAATCCAGGTAATACAAATAATTCTTATTTACAAAATTTGGTACTAACTTTGCAGACACAGCTCAAAGAACAAAACGAGCGCATCGAGCAAATCCCTGGAGTTCCCCCAATAATCAAAGGAATAGATGCGGATAAATATTCACAACAACCTTGGAAACCAAGTGCTGCTCCCCTTTCAATCCCTAAAAAGTTCAAAATGCCTGACATTTCAAAATATGACGGCACAACCGATCCACGTGACCATGTGACNGACTTCACCAAAAGATCCCTTCAAAATTGCCAAGGGATAACATTAACAATCATTAAAAGTTGTAACATCACTTTCTGAAGCAATAACAGGTGCGGTTACAACTTCTGACGAAGCAGCAATAGGAGCGATTTCAGCTGAGCTTGAAGAGATAACATCAACGAGGGAAGTAACAGTCACAGGAACTTCAATTTCCATAGACTGTGTCATAGAAGTTTCAACTTCGGAAGCTGGAGTTATAACTTCAAGTACCTCAGTAACTGCTTCGGAGTTCAAACACTCTTCTGTTCCAGGAGCTTCAAGTGCTGGAGAGGGGGTGTCAATAGTTCCAAGTGCCGGAGAAGGAGTATCAGCAAGTTGTTGACCTTTTTCGATAGTGTCTATGACTTTGTCCAATTCAGATTGCAAGTCAAAGTTTTCCTGTGTAGCCTCCATCAAAGCATCACGTCGAGAATTTAGAAAAGCCCAACTCACGTCTATGTTGAAATTTTCTTCAAGAGCATTATATTCCTTCTCCAAAGCCTTGTATTCCTTTTCCCACATAGCAAGGTCATTTTTCATTATTTGGTGCTCGGCTAAATGAGAATCCAGGGAAGCTTCAAGAGAGGCATGAGAACTTTCCAAGGCACGGATTCTATCAGAAGAAATTCTTAAATCATTCTGAGCATGACTTAAGTTTTGAGCTAACTCCTTTGCGTATTCTTCTTTCTTCTCCATGAGTGCTTTAAGCTCTTTAATCTCATCATTGGCTCTAGATAAAGAACGTTTCAGAAGCTCTTTATCCTCTTTAAGCTGACCCCAAGAAGCATTCGCAATTCCCAATTCAGAAGTTAAGCCATGATTTTGTTGCTCCAAGTGAGCCTTGCTCTCCCGCAACTCTTCTACAGTCACTTGGGTACTCTCAAATTGTTTTTTCCAGTTTGCTGCCTCAAATAATGCATCCTCAGCTATTTTCCTAGCCTCAGATAGAGCCCTTGTAGACTCTCGTTCCTTTTTCTCCAATGAAGAAACTCGCCCCATCAATTCAGTCCCAATATGATTAGCCTACGGTCATAAAGCATAGAAGTGAGAACTTAGAAAGAAAAAGAAGGAAAGCATTCAAGGTTAAGAAAATTACCTTCAAAGTTGAATGAACTATGTCATTCATCAAAGTGTAACTACTATGGCTTTGCATCTTATTCTTTTCAATTTCTCCAATAAGAGGTTGGAGCCAAGTATCAGCTCTCCCAGAAAAAGGTTGTGACACTCCTCATGGTCATGCTTCTATTGCTGGAACTTATTTCTATATGTGGGACAGATGAAGATGGAACAGCGGAAGGGGGAGTAGTAGAAAAGGTAAACACCACAGGAGTCGTAGGAGTGGGAACAGGAACGGAAGAAGTAGACATAGGAATGGAAGTAGAAGCAATTAAAACTGGTGAAAGAACAGAAATAGTCAATGCTGGCAAAGAAACACTTACGGTTGGCAAATGAATGGAAGAAATAGGTGCGAATGAAGAAAGAGGAACTTCATCGAAAACAGGTCCGAGCTCGCCACTCTCAAAACCACTATCAAAGAGATGCTGAGTTGATTCATTTGTGTTTCTTGGCACGGTGTCTTCATCTGAAGGAATCAAAACAGGCTCGGTGGTCGAAGTTTGAGCAGGAGTATCTTCAATTTCATCATTATTAATAACTCGTCTCCTAATTCGTGGCCTAGCTATTGACGAGGTACCTCCCTCTTCCTCATTCTTAGAACCTTCTCCTATAGCTTTCCTTTTTTGAAGCAAGGTTCGAGTCTTGTCCAAATCAAGTGCAGCATTACCAGACATGCGAAGGGCTGTGACAACATCAGCTGTCATTCCTCTGTTACCAAATCCTGATTAAAAGAAGAATACACAATCAACATTAAGAAAAAAGTACTTAATGTGCAAAAAGAAAAATGTATAAAGAAAAGAGGCGATACCGTGTGTTTTAACTTTCCAGCCATGTAAAGCGGAAATTGATTTCCAAGTTCTTTGCTCCTTAGGAGCAACCTTCAAAATTGAATCTACCCAACCACGAAAGTTGGGAACAGGTTCCACATCTCCCATGGTTGCTACAAAAAACCAAAAAGAGACAAATTTAGAAAAAGAATCGAAATTCTCAACAGAAAAAGAGGTACTGTCAAATAAAAAAAAACTTACGTGCAAAATTCCACTTCTCAGGGAAGGGAATATTTGTTTCACCAAGTAAATCCACCGTACGCACAGCAACGTAACGGGCATACCATCCACGATCATTGTCATCTTCTGTACTTACCAAAACCTTCTTGCTTCTCGCAGTTAAGGTAAAGACTCCATGACGTATCAAATTAGGGTGGTATAAATGGATAAGATGAGAAAAGGTGAAATTAATAGTGGCTTTGGTAGAAAGATATCTCAAACAAGCCACTGCTCTCCATACTAAAGGACCAACTTGGGCCAGACAAATATTAAAGAAACGGCAAAAATTGAGGATGATTGGGTCAATTGGGGGATTAAAACCCAAAGTAAAAGGGTAAGTATAGACAAAAGAGTATCCAATCCTAAAAGAAGAAATTCTTTGGTCAATGGAAGGAATTAACATTCGAAGACTATTTTTCCAGTTACAATCTCCTCTGATGGTAGGGATTGTAAGTTCGGTCACTAATGTAGGATATGTGTCAGTTTTGTCTAAACCAGCAACTTGCTTTTGAAGGTATTGTCTATCACTTACAAAAGATAAATCACTTGGTACGATTTCATCAACTAAAGGTTCTCGAGAAGAATCAGCAATTTCTTTACCTTTAGAAGAAGGAGTTTTAAGAATAGAACTCCTAGAAGAAGAACCAGAAGAGCCGCCTCGAGTAGATTCTAACCCTGGTTTGGAGATGCCATTGTTGAGCAGAGATGAATCGAAGGGAAGCAAAAATAAGGAAGAAAAACGTTTGCTAAAGATTTATGGAGAAGAAGACAAAGAAAGAAAAGGGGCAAGTTTATATATAAACTCAACCGTCAGTAATTAAAAAGTGTAATGATGGAAAGCCTATAATAAAGGCAACTATCACTTCGTGAATAGTGGAGTTACAAAAGCCTTAGAAAAAGGCTGCAAAATCGCAGAACTAATGAGAAGACGACACGTATATGGTGCATTAAATAGAAGAGACAATTGAAGAGGTAATACTGTCATCGCATTGATTATGGCAAAAATTCCCTTTTTAATGAAGATCCACTTCCCAAATATTTAAATGATAAATAAATGGAAAGTGGGAGGACTATCTGTATTGGGAAAAAGTTGAATTTATATTGAAAATGACGTGGCGTGACACGTGGACTGGACAAATAGTCAAAGTATAACAATTAAGAAAAAGGTACGGTAGATGACAGGTACGAGAAGAGGAAGTGAAACAGGCACGAGAAGCAGTTTAGATACGAGTCTCGTAT